GACCGAGTTACTGCGAGCATGGGAGGTGTTTTGGCCAATTCGCTGTCTTAGGTTCCACGCTACCGCTCCGTAAGATGCTAGCATGACCAAGTAGGGTAGGGCATAATTCAGGGTGAATAACACGAGCAAATAGGCAGAGCCATTCCCAACAGGATGCAATTCACAATGGCCACCTACGAACCTGTTTTGAATAACGAATATGGGCACACAGACAGCAGTAGGAACAAGCCACAAACAGGAAAAGATCACAGTCTTCACTTTCCCAGATACAGGTCTTTGGATAGGGTTGATGAGCACTCGGTAGCGGTAGAACGCGAGCCCTGCCAGCGAATGAGTTACTACCATCAATGAAATAACTTGGATGGGATTGTCAACGCACCAGATATCGCGGATGACAACATTCTTGTGTCCTTTTTCATACTGCCAGACGTACATGATCGGTAAGCAGAGAGAGTTGACGATTTCTGCAAAGGCCATGTTGGCAACGAGATGGTATGAAAACGGCTTGCGGTGAGGCGCTTTCCAAATTGCTTTACAAACGACCGAGTTACCGATCAAGCTGGCCAAGATGATCAGTGTGAACAAGGTATGACGAAAAATACGCAGGGGTAGAGTTTCCTGGTATTGGATCACTCCGTAGTTTTCAGACGTTCCACTGACAACAGACGAGTTGTTAAGCGATGTCATCGTGTTCTTCCAGTTCAACTAAGTTTCCTTGTAAGAGGGTGTGTTCCAAGGCGACTTACAACCTTCTTACTTCTTTCAAAACACTGCAGCTGTCTTATAAATGTTTGATCTGCATTTTAAATGGCAACGTAGAACTTTACTGACGGTTTTAATGAACACTCCTGAGCGGACACCAAAACATTTGCATATGCACTTTAAAAAAAATCAATGGAAATCTGCAAAATAAGCATGACTTTTCACTTAACAGGGATATCAAAAGAACGCATGAATCGAAAACTACACGGGGATGTTCTCAGTTTTTATATTTCGAGCTTTTTTGTCTTTCCTTTTTTTTCTAATATCATTGTATTTGGTACTTTCTTTAAAAATTGTGAAATTTCCGTCTTTAAAGAAGCCTTAAACCAGCTGCTGTTAAATATTCTTTGCTGCCAGAAGAACGTTCGTGTGCCAATTTTGGGACAAAGTATAATCGACTTAATTGCCACATTGTCAACTCACTGAACCAGTCAGTTTTATGGTAACACACGCAAAATATTTTGTTTGTTTTTAAAAAAAGCGTTTCGCCTGAAGTTTCGCGTTACATGAACATTCTAACCGGTGTAAACTGACAAAATAAAAATAAGGTATTTCAGTAAATTCTTATCACTGGCAGGAAAGAGATTTGGACTGTTACTAAAGCCAACAACTCAAAACCCACGCCTTTTGACTTTTTTTTTTCAGTAACATGAAAGTAAAGTAAAAGTTTTATTCTCCAGGGAAACTGATATGAAAAATATTTGGACGTTTGAGCACGTCTCCTAAATCCACAAGCACATCTGCGTTTTTCTTAAAGTTCTTTACGCTAATAGATCTTAGAACTTCAGGCGCAGAGTTCAGATCTGCACAAACATGCATTGCGGTCCTTTCTGAGCAAGTTGTTAAGGTGACACCCAACATTCTTCACAACGCAGACTATTTGCTTTTTCAGTCGTTGCTGATGGTATACCGCCTGAATTTAAAATGACGTTATCAAATTTGAATATTTTTTCTTTCAGCGCTACTAACTCATACTAAGGGCTGTGGTCTCTAACATTCATCATCAATTGTGATCAAAACATTTCTTTTCCCTTTTTGTCTTTTTAACAAAAAACGCGAAAGAAGTCACGCAAACATGAGGTTGAACCAGAACCAACATTTTTAAAAGAGCAAAGAAAAAACCATCAGACTATTTTAATTTGGCATTTAAAAATCTTAACATTAAAAATGGCCCCATTATGTCCAAGTGTTATTATTTTCTTCACCCGAAAAAAATAACCTGGTCTTGCTTAGTAACATGACCCTGCGATACTAAACGTCATTAGTTATCTAGAACTAAAACCAACACGAATTCCACTTCTCTCCTGTTTCTACTCAAATTTCCATCAACGCAACACTACTTTTCCCGTAAAATAAGTTCAATGTCACTGATATCATTACAGCTTTTTCTTCCTGTTTTCAAATTTTCTACCACGCCTCCCATTTTCACATAAACACGATGCACGTTCATCGAACTTTATTATCATTCGTTTCATCGGTTTAGTACATCTATTCATCGGTTTCTCTTTCGCGTCGTTTTCTACATTCTTGACCACTAAAAACAGAAAAACGTTGCAAACCTCTCTTAGTCTGGCGTACATCATCCTTTTTTACATTCTTGTTATGATCCAGAAAAGCACCTGCCTTTCCATCCTCTTGCAATAAATCCACAAATTGACAAGAACGAAAAAAAATTGTCTTCTCATGCAGTCACCTAACTTGATCATACATTTGTGAAATATTGTTTTTAATTTCCTGCACGATAATGAAACTGTTTTTTTTCTCTTCGTCTTAGATCATCGTTAAACTACAATTTTCTTTTCTCTAATTAATCTAAAAGAGCAATCGGTTTGGCGTCATGAACTGACTAATTATTCATTAACACACTTTTTCTTGTTGTTTTCAAATTGTTCATTTATCATGAGATCAATAAAAATTCTGTTTCATAAAATGTTTCATTTATCATGCAACAATTACGACACCAAAATTAGAATACCGTAAATTCTCTATTAAGCCCCCCCTTCCAAATAAGCCCCCCCCTCTCTTTTTGGTCTTGGGCTGCATGACCTCCAGCTTCATATGCTTAACTTTCTCAACTTTGTGCTCTAGTTCTCTGTGGAGAATTGTCACCATTTTCTTATCGTTAGACAAAGCCGTATACCACCCGGGAACCACAAGTCCGTCCTCGAGAAACCTTGCTCCTGTCGGTGAAAATTCAAAGCTGCAACCTTTACGAGATAAAAATTTACACAGCAGAAATGGTAATTCTACAGGTGATGCGTTTCAACCCCCCCCCCAAAAGTGCTTGGAAAAAAAAAAATAAGGCAATAATAATAGAGGATTTACGGTAGTTCGCATTTTCATCAAAGTTTGTGGAATAATAATTTAGTGTTCTATTTAAAATACAGTTCATCTTTCATAACATATACAACGCTTACTTCACCTCGAAATAACTAAAAATACGTATTATTTACTAAGAGATGCTCTGTATTTTGGGCGCAGGAACAAAGTTCAATCTTTGACAAGCGTCCTCCAATGGTTCCTCAAAGTGTTTCTCAAAATAAACGTTCATGAAAAACTTAGATTGATAGCCACAGTACACAGCCCAGGGGATGTAATATTTCCTCAGGTTAGCGCGTTCCCTGTAGAGAAATTTACAGCGCAAGAGTTATTAATAGGCGAGACTACAAGACAGTATTGAAATGGAATATTCGAAGGAACTCTGAGCCTCTCTGTGAGTACCTGGGTTGCCTCGTTCCCAGGCGTCTCAACTATGGAAAACGGAAAACGCCACTGCACGAGCCATCAAGGAGTATCGCGCAATGGACCATGGGAACGTTTAGCGTGGACGCAAAGGACGCTGGGAAGGGTGAACGATACCTAGCGCGCAACCAAAATCCCTGTCGCTCTCGAATCCGCTAGAACGTGTCTGGGTACGAGGCAGGTACCTGGGGACGTCGTTTTTGTGGCGCGTTTTCCATCAAATCGTCGGTTTTTCAAGGAAATCGCCACAATTTAAGACTGAATAGTTTTGCGTGGTGACGCTACTAGCACGCTCGAGCAACTAAGACGAAGACAACGGAAACGGAAAAATAAATAAAGTAACAGGTTTAACACTAGCAAAACAAAAGCCCTGAGTAAGCAGCTAGCGCTTGCAGCAGACATTTTGGCAGATTTCTTTGCCATCATCGTCTAGTCTAACATTGTCAAAATTGATCGGAATGGCAACGCGATCATCGCTTTCATCTCCAAGATCGTCGTTTCATCAATAGCGATCGTTACGTCTTTGATTTCGTCGGAAATGTCCATAGAGAGTTCCAACTATCGCATTGATTATTAGTGTTAGAGTAGAGCGAGTTTGTAACTACAAAATTAAAATGTAAATGGTTGAGTAGAGTTTGGTCTGAAATTGTTTAAGATAATCGCAGTTTTGGTGTTAGTTTTCCATACATAAGTACGTTTGACATGATTTTCATGTCCCAAAGGGATGGACAATGTTCCAGCTTCTCATCTGAAGAAGGTACCGTGCTTCAAGGGTCCAATGTGTACGGTTTCCTGTCAGATTACCCAACCTCTCTATTTCATTAAGTCGTAGCCTGCAGTGCAAGCGTATTTTGGGTAGGCGAAACCTTGTTCGTGTTCGTATCGCTGTTACCCAGCAGGGTGCCAGAGACTTTCCATGCGCGGTTTCCGGTTTCGGTGAGGCCGAAGACGTGTCGGCCTGCGGCCGAGGAAACTCCTCGTCACACGCGAGAAAAAATCTCTGGTACCCGGGGTATATCGCTGTAGCCGCCATCTTTGATTTTATGACAGTGGAAGATTGGGGAGAGTAGAAATGGTAACCCTTAGGGTAGGCCCCATTTCCTCCTCTCTTCGGGAAGTTTCAACATGGCGCTTTCGCGATCAAAAACATTTGCACGCCCGAAAAAAACGCCTGCACTGCAGGCTAATTAAGTCAGCATTGAACGAAACAGGAAAGAACGAAACAAACAGCCGAAAGGGTGCCGGTAGGATTATATAATTGGCGCGTTTATCTAATTACAAAATAGAATGCTTCTTCTCTTACGACATTACGTAGCTCAAGCAACAACGACGGCGACGGTTACGAAAACGTCACTTACTGAACTAAAAGTGGGAATTCACGTTGCCTCAAACTTAATCGCTCTTATTCCATCTCGCCTTAATTCGTCAAATGTCGGCAAATTTTTCCGGGGTTGAATTCTAAAAGATTGTGTCGCAGTTCAGGAAAAGAAAAAGAAAGTCGTTGTCATATGCGCCCAAGTCCGCCAAAAAACGTGAAATTAGGAACATTCAGGTCGTAGTCTTGTAGTGACGGTAAAGAAATGTACCAAAAAAGAGTGATGCACGTGCAGAGTTGTTGTTTTTGCCAATGTAAGGGCCTGTTGGCATGGAGGTGGGGGACCCCAGGTAGATGAGGTAACCTGCTTAGGTGGGGTAACGCGCCTGTCCATATAATCTCTCATTTTAATGTGAACACGTTTACATGATAGGTGAGGTGACCCGCCGCGGGTTACCTGACCTACCTGGGATCCCCCACCTTCATGTAAACAGGACCTAACCCTATTGTTTTTTGGCCGTTCTCGTTGCCGTCCCCGTCGTCGTTGCTTAAGCTCCCTATTATCTGATATAAGCGGTTTTGTTTTAGATGTTTACACTAACAAAGCAAATGAATAACACTGTACACACTCTTTTCCTTATTTTCACACATATTAATAATACGTATTTCACCCATGATATAATACGTATCTTATTCCCTGTGCACGCTCCATTCCGCACTATTTTTCCTTATTTTCACACATTTTAATAAAATGCATTTCACATGTGATATAGCACGTATTTTATTTCCTGTGCACATTCTATCCACACTCTTTTTTCTTATTTGCCATTTAAGTTTGTTAAAACACCCAAAAAATCAAAAGTCTATT